ATCCATGGCTGCCCACCCGACTTGCTGACCTCGTTCTTATCCGCAAGGCTGCTGAGCAATCAGGCCCTGACTCCCCATATTTCGAAGAGGTTCTTTGCCAGTGGTCCTTACATTTACAAACCCATTATGATTGGTATAACTTGCTAAAGGCAGTCTTAGAACATCAGTCTTTTTAAAGTGGCACTCAGCCTATGATGATCAGGCTGAGAACCAGGCACACCTAAATCTCCAATATGGCCTCAACATTATGTTGGACATGCTCAAGGGATGCGGACAACATACTGACCCCATCTCCCAGTCTACTATTGGCCTCCATGCTTATTTTCAACAAGTTTCTGACTTGGCCTTTAAGGCCCTTAAATGTTGCTCCCCCCATGACCCACAAGTCTTTTTTCCATAATTTGATTCAACAGTCAGGGGAGTCCTTCACGGACTTCCTTACCCAAATCACCGAGGCAGTAGAGCGGAGGGTGGAGTCTGGACACATCCGAGAGGTGCTTATCAAACAGTTAACTCCCGGGGTCTCTGTGTCATGACTCCATACCTCTTGCCCCCCCCAATCGGCAGGGGACCCGATCCAGGTTAGGGTCTTCACAGCTGGCCTGAGGAGAACCCACAACAGGTGTGATGCTGGATAGGTTAACCAGGCTCCAGAGGTTAGTATGACAAGAGCATTTGGGGATACAAATTTGACTTGATAGGCCTTTATATGTGTGTGTGTGTGTGTGTGTGTGTGTGTGTGTGTGTGTACAAAACAGAGTTCCACTGTTACTATGTTATATATCAACATAGATAGATAGATAGATAGATAGATAGATAGATAGATAGATAGATATAGTGTGTGTGTGTGTGTGTGTGTGTGTGTGTGTACAAAAAACAGAGTTCATGAAATCGGACAGGGGATATGGGCAGTGCAGACAGAGAAGGAGGTTTAAATATAATCAAAATATATTTTACGAAATTTGCAAAAATTCAATAAAAATGGGGAAAAAGAAAAGATACTTCTTTAGCAGAGGGAAGGGGCCTATTGATTCCTAATTAGGATCTCAGTTATCAGTTCTACCTGTCCTAAAGGTCTGTGGTAGATACTAAGAAATGAGAGTACAGGAAAATCTGTAACTATGGGGAAAAGGACAAAAATTAGACAAAAATAAAGCAAGACTCTTCCATGCAAAAGGGGGCTAGGACTCTGGGAAGAACTTATAAGAACAGGGGCTGTCTATGTCTTTAAAGAAGACTCTAGACTGTATGTGCCAACGACTCTGGCCTGAACACAGGGGCAGCATCATAGGTGGAGGGAACAATGCTTAATGGGGGCAGAGGCCACTGTTTCAACAAAACAAACATGTAGAGGATCTGGTGAAATTCAGGCTACACAGGACAATGAGATTAAATGACAAAGTTGAGAACTGTGTGGACAGAAGGCAGTTAGTTAACTGGTTCATGGGCCACAGCAGCACTGTGCTGGTATCGTCCTGTGGGTCTTATTAATCCTCTGAGGCTCAGAGACAAGAGTGTCTCACCCAAGATCACAGAGCTGGGCAGCCACAGAGCTAGACATTGGGTCTGGGGATCCGCAGGTCCCTGGCCCATCTCTAGCCTAGAATCACACATTGTCCCAACTCAAGCAGTTCGGGGGTAGAAGTGTGTACAGAAAACTGGCTACGTGAATGTCAGGAATGGTGTGTCTCTCATATATATATATGCTTGAAGCAAATGAAAATGAAATACACATCTGTGGGTGAGAAAAGGCAGATACAGGCAATTTTAAGTGGTTCAGTGCAGTACAAAGGAATGTAAAGGAAAGAGGAAAAGTATGAGGTGTCAGCCCTAAGGTGATTCTGTTCCTGCTGAGACACTGGTGGGAAGCTTTCTGAGGGAGAGAGCGAAGCAAGAACTCAATGCTGACAGGTGCTGACTGCAGGCAACACAGGCGTGCAGGCAGGGTGGTCCAAATCTGCCGATTCCAATCAAAGTCCCATCCGATGGATCCACATTAGGCATTGCAGGTACGAGGGAGGGAGATGGGCTCAGGCTGTGAAGTAGGGATGGTCTATGCACCATTCAAGGTCTTTAAAATTCCAACCCAGCCTTGCTTCATTATGACCTATTTGATTTTAGACTTGACCACTCTGGACAGACACCTGCTCAACAAGCAACTCTGAAAGAGGCCGAGTTCTCCAGGAGAGAAGATGGGACTGTCTACTCCCCACTCTCTGAGATTTATCCATCACTCAAAGCCAGCAACGAGGAGATGGGACCCTGGAAGTGGTTGCAAACAGTGTTACCAATCCCTGGCTAATCAGAGTGACTGTGTGAGGCCATCCCCAGCATTCCGAAGGCACCTCTCAGCCATTTCTGTCTCCCAGCTCACTCTGCTAAAGAACTGGCTTTGATTACCTACAGCAGAAGCGTAAGACAGCCTTTTTCGTCTTTCCTAAACAGAAGCACTTGTGCTGTCTGTAAGTTCTAATTTCTGTTAATATATTTATCACTGACCCTGAGACAGGAGGCGAAGTAGCCTCCCTTCAGTACCACTTCTGGGGCCATGAGAATGGGTGTAGAGAGAGCTCTGCTTTCTACTTATGACCTCAGAAATGTAAAACAAGAAAACCAGCAAAACAAAACAAAACCACAGAACAGCCTTCTAAGCCAACATATTCTAACCAGAATTCTCCCAAACATGATCAAGTTTACTTAGTGGCTTTTAAAAAAGATTTTATTATTTTTTAAAAATTTTTATTTATTATTGTTATTTTATGTGTATGAATGTTATGCCTGCATGTAAGTAAGTGCACCCGTGTTGTGCAATGCCCAAGGAGGACAGAAGAGGCTGTTAGGTCCCCTGGAACTGAAATTACAGACAGTTGTTATCTGCCATGTGGGTGCTGGGATTCGAACGCAGGTCTTTTGCAAGAATAGCCAGTGTTTTTAACCACTGAGCCATCTCTCCAGCCCAGATTTTATCATTTTAAATTTATGTGTATGGGTGTTTTGCCAGCATGTATGTGAGTGCACCCATGTCATGCAACGTCCACAGAGGCCACAAGAGGGCGTCAGATCCCCTGGAACTGGAGTTACAGGCAGTTGTTAGCCACCATGTAAGTATAGGAACCAAACCCAGGTCCTCTGCAAGCAGAGCCAGGGCTCTTAACAACTAGGCCATGTCTCCAGCCTCTAGTTTGTGTTGAATGGATTTGAAGCTAATTCCGAGGCCAACTAGAACTTCAATGAGGAATGTGGGCTTTCAGATCAGTCACTTTCATGCTGCAGTTTTGTTTGTAGATGACAGCTTTAGGGCCTAAGGTGAAGCCGGGTCCCACATGACAGGAAAGGAAGGATGAAGCAGGATGGGAGACCATGGCTGATGCCCACAATGACCAGCAGTGGGCAGATATGTCATGCTTACAGGGAGAGGTAGAGAGTTCTTGTCAAGTTCAGGTCAATGAACACCCACAACCCCTTCTTGATCTAGCGCGTACTGGTGGAATCAACCAATCAGGTCACACATTTTGCTGCATAATACTGGCCATGGCCCTCCAGCTGGAAGTGCAGAGAAAGCATGTGCGAGAATGCATCCCATTACTTCTGTGACTATTTATTCCGTTTATATTTACCTTGCAGCCTGTATTTTATCTTCTACAGTATCTGTAACTTCTGATATAACCCACTGGTGATTTTACCTCCAGCTGAACTAAACGTTTAGCATTGTTTTTTGTCTGTTTGTCCATCTGTTTGATTGGATTGATGAGACAAGGTCTCACTCTGTAACACAAGTGGCCTGGACCTCACTATGTAGCCCAGGATAGATTCTTAGTAATCCTCCTGCCTCAGCTGCACAAGTGCTGAGAGTACTGGCATATGCCAAATATCTACTTCCTGAATACAATGACACCTCTAGGATTAGTCACCCTAACTGTAGTCACCATCCTCAGGGCCACTGGGCAGGAAATACCAAACATGAGCAGTCTCAACCTCACCAAGCGGGGGAGGGAACCACATCTCTCAGGCTTGCCATCCTCCGATTCTGGGGTCACAAATCTGCCACATTTTCATGAATTTTCAGGGGTGGGGTTCTCTTTTCTATGAAGTTTTATGAAATTTCACCAGCTGGCTGTTCTGTCCAAGGAGGAAGTCACCTGTTTCTGTGTTGGGCCTGCTTTCAATCTAGTCCAAACTGTTGAACCTCCATGTTCCTGTTGCACTCATTCAGCAATCCAGTGGTCACCGCAGTCTTGTCTGTTTTCATTCCTATTCTGTCAAGATTGAGGGGGCGTTGGCACAAGCCTGTATCTGTGCCTCTCCATCTCTGGCATGTCTGTCCTGTCCACCAGGTATCACTGAGCTCTCTTTTGAAAGGGAATTGATTTCAGAACAATTATTCTTCCTTACTGAAATCCATTCTTTGGAATTTTTAAAAATTGATGCTTTCATTACAAAAGTAATTAGGTTTGATTCTGCCAATTCTATCTATCTATCTATCTATCTATCTATCTATCTATCTATCTATCTATCTATCATCTATCTATCTATCTATCTATGTTTTTGAGACAGGGTCTTGCCAGGATATAGCCCTGGCTGGCCTGGAATGTGTAATTAATTTCATTTATCTGTCTGTCTGTCTGTTTTTTTGAGATAGGGGATTGCCAGGGTCTAGCTCTGGCTGGCTTGGAACTAGTTATGTAGACCAGGCTGGCCTTGAACTCACTGTGATCCTCCTGACTTACCCTCTCAGCTATTCAGGCTATAGGCATGTACCATCATGCATGGTCATTAAAAATTTATCTGAACAAACGATGAGCCACCTAGCTTTAAAACAAAATATAAATTGAGTATTTTTCTAGAACAAATGATCTTGAATTTCTTTTAGCTTCAGTTTTGAAGGGAATTAAAATAACATAGAAACTCAAAAGTTCATGAACTTCAGAAAAAGTCACTTCAATGTTGACAGTATTCTTAAGGGCATACACAGGCCAGCTCTCACACAGATGAGTTCTTACCAGTGGGATGAGCAAGCTGATGAGGTCTGTGAGCGGTCTACTGAGTACCAGCAGGTCCTCTGCGGCCTGTGTGTCCCCTCTCAAGCCAGACTTCTGAACCTGGGACAAGGAGAAAAGAAACAAAAGGGGGTCAAGGTGATTAGTCAGCTCAGCTGCATGAGAGAGGTGCAAAAGAGAGAGGCTGAGGAGGGCTACCTCAGTCCCCACACACAGAAGAATGGAAGTTCCAGAAGAAACACCACACTTTATTACAACATGACACACAGTACACATACTCCCTCAGCTCAGACCACAGCACAGACCTGGAGAGACAAGAAGGGGGCAAGAGGCTGCCACAGGACAATGGTGACAGTCCCTATTAGTTACTTTTCTCAATGCTGTGACAAAATACCTGAAAGGAGCAACTTTAAGGAAGAAGGGTTTATTTTGTCCAATAGTTTAAGGGTACAGTCTGTGATGGTGGAAAAGGCTTGGTGGTGATAGGTTGTGGGGATGGGAGAATGAGGCCACCTGCTGGATCAGCAAGCAGAGAGTGGACAGGAAGCGGGATGGGGCTATAAACCTCAAGCCCTGCCCTCAGTGATGTACTTCCTCTAATGAGGATCCACCCCTTTAAAGGTTCAACAACCCTTCCAAAACAGAGCCACTAGCTAGGGATCAAGTGTTCAAACACATGAACCTGAGGGGACACTCGCCTTCAAACCACATACCTTTCACATTGTGTTGGGGGTAAGTGCCCTCTCTTTCCAGCCAGCCTGAGACTCAAGACTTTTGGCCCTACTTTTTAGGTGAGAAAACCCAAGCTTAGAAAACCATAATATGGGGACTGGAGAGATGGCTCAGCGATGAAGAGGACTGGCTACTCTTGCAGAGGACCTGGATTTAGTTCCTGGAACCTACATGAAGGCTAACAACCATCTGTAACTCTAGTTCTAGGGAATCTGATGTCTTCTTCTGACCTCCATAGGCATTACATGATATAGGTGCACATATACATGCAGGCAATACACTCACACACATAAAATAAAAATAAGTAATTTTTTTTTTAAAAAAAGAAACCCTAATCTGGGGACTGAAGAGACAGCTCAGTGGGTGAGGGTGCTGTGCAAGCGTGAGGATCTGAGTTCAGATCCCAGCACCAAAGTAAAAGGCCAAATCGCATACCCACCTGTAACCCCAGCTCTGTTGGGGGAGGAGACAGGAAGCTGGTGGGGGCTTTCTGGCAGCCAGCCCAGCTCCAAGTTCACTGAGAGACCCTGCCTCAAAGGAATAAAGCTAAGAGAGATAGAGCAGGACACATGACTTCCTCCTTTGACCTCTGAGTGTACATAGATAGGCACATGTGCTCAACACCACACACATGCTCATGCACACATTCATACCGAAATGTTTTGGAAAAAATAAAAACAAAATGTTAGTCTGGTTATCTGAAGTCCCACCTGCAATGGGTGACAAGACCAAAGGACAACCCAAGCCACTGTTCATCCCCTCTGGGTACTGTCATGTCCTTGACAGACACCTACTGTATCTGCTGTGTCCCCTCTCTACAGCATCCATGTGCCCAGATAACACCCAGGATATCTGTTCAATGTATTGCTGCATGAACAGCCTTCAAATATAGTTCTCCATCTCACAGGGCACTGTCCTAGTTATTCTTTCTGTTGCTGTGATAATCTATCCCCAAAAGAACAACTTAATGGAGAAAGGGTTTATTCTGGCTCATAGATCAAAGGTCTAGTCCATCATAGAGGGGAACAAGATGGCAGAAACTTGAATGAACTAGTCACATCACATCCACAATCAGAAAGTAGAGAGTATTGGATGCACACAGGCTCAGCTGCCTTGTTCATTTATGCAGTCCAGGATTCCCTGCCCAGGTATTGGTCCCACCTACCAACAAGATAGGTCTTCCCACATCAATCAACATAATCAACATAATCCCTCATAAGTGTGCCCAGAGGCTTGTCTCCCAGGTGACTCCAGAGTCTGTCAAGTTGACAACGCTATCAGAGACACATAGGTTTAAACCATACTGGGATGAGTGATGAGCGAGTCTTTTTGATGTCCTATGTATCTTCTCCTGTTGGCCTTAGAGAGGTAAAGGTATTTTTACCACAGAGATGAGTAGTTTTATATTCAAAACAGGCTGATACTGAATTAGCTTTAGAGGAGACAAGACAAGATCTGGTGTTCAGGGTGGAATGGCTGTAGACTTGTATTAGCTTTAGAATACACATTTCATAGAGATCACATCTGTTTTTACTTTTAGAACATGACCTTTGTCTGTACTGGTAGAGCAGGCTGCCCTGCCTCGGATGATGAACCTGGATGCCAGGGTCTTCCTGGGGAAAGCCATTTCCTTGGCACTTCAGGCCTTACACAGAATTTCAGCCACCTGCCCCTTTATTGGTTCAGAAGGACTTTGTTGCAGATTCAACACCTGACTCATAACTTGCACCATTCTCTGGCTAAGGCAAAGAGTGATGACTGTTAGCTTGGAGCTTGCTCTCCCTCCTCATCTCCCTGGCTGACTTTCTAATAAAGGCACAGTTTTCTTTCAGAAAATAAGTATGTGTGTGCAGAACTCTCCTGGAGGCCTGATCCTCTCTCTGCAGTTGATGCCTTGCCTTCTGAGGCTCAGGCTGACATGAAGTATTGGCCTTTTCACATTAAACATTAACACATATCCTGTAGCTGACTCAGATGCCTCCTGGTGAGGATAAGGCAGGCTTGCAAATCAGGACGTGGGCAGCAGTGAGGGCTAAGGGGCCAGTACTTCCTTTTCAAACCTTCAGAGCTGGCAGATGAGGCCACAGAACAATCCCACACTGGGGATTTTCCCAAAAGGATATACAGGAGTCCTCTGGATTCTCTAAGACCTACATAGCCACTTGTTCCTGTAACCAGGAAACATCTAGACCCTGTAGCAGTTATGTGCCACCTCCTTACAGAGTTGATAGGGGTTGCAGAAAGAGAATATAACTGCATAAAGTGTCAGTGTGTAAGAGAAAAGAATGCACTAAAAACTCAACAGCGTACTTCACAAAGGGTTCGGCTTACCACGGAAGCTCTCTCTGTATGGTGAAGGATCCAGGCCTGGATGTAGCAGGCAACAGAGAAACACTGTAGGTCCTCAGGCCTGCTCTCTTCCACCTTTTTCCACTCCCAGAATCTCACTCCTTAGAGTCAGCCTCCTGACTCGCGGCTCTCTGGTCCTTTGGGTATTCTGTGCACAGAGCTACTGCCCCTACATGGCCCAGCCACTGTCTTCACAGCACAGGTCCTCCACCTCTGCCTCTGGTCCCATTGATATTTCCCAAGACGGCACTGCCCCTTGTCATTACTGTGCAGTAACTTAGCCCTCCCCTTGTCACCCAGCGTCCTCCACCTGCCAGGTGTTGAAGTCCAAGCAAGAGAAGAGAGAAGTCAGCCTAGGTCTGCAGAGATGTCACTACATTGGTTATATGCTTAAAGTAGAACCTGTATTGTTTGATGACAGATCGAATGTGGAAGATGCAAAAGAGGAATAAAATTATAATAATGACTCCCAAACTTCTGGTTTGTGCAGCGGGGAAGGACGGGGGGATGACCATGGCTTCCTGCAGGGGAATGGGCTTGGAGGCAAATCTGAGTTCTCTTTTCAACCCTGGTACATCTGGTGGCCACACTGAACAGGCTGCTAGATGTATGAGCATAGACCTCAGAGGCGAACTCTGGGTGGAAACAAACATGTAATAAAAATGCAACTACAAAACCTGGGAATATCAACTTAGGAGTCATATTTAGCAGTAAGTGACGATACAGCCTGACCTAAAATGGGATGAGAAACACAGAAAACTTCTCAGCATTAAATATCTAGGCTAAAATACAGTCCTATCACACCAGCCTTTGCCACACTGAATCTAGTGGATGGAGGCAGGTACTTCCAGAGGCTTGCTGACAGAGGGCAGGAGAGACAAGTATGTTCAAGAAAATACTGCATCCATCTAGGATGTGGTGAAGCAACTTGCCTTGCATGCATGAGGCCCCAACTGGGGTTCAATCCCCCCAAAATGCTGAAACAGGAGAGTTGTGCCAGGTTTGGGGCTGGTTCTGTTCTCTCATTTGGGCTTCACAACAATCCATAGAAGTTACAGTTCTCTGCTTTCCTGATAAGGAAACCTGCATAAAGGTAGGCGGGAGAAATGTGGCCAGTATCACACAGGTGAAGGTGGTGTGTCTGGGATTAGAATGGAAGGCATCCCTGTGTGCCCCACTGCTCCCGTGTGTTGTCTGTGTCTACCTGTCTTTCCTACCTCACATGGGGGAACTGGGGCCAATTCTGAATTACTGGGCTGCTGATGTAGGGACTGAACCTCTGATGGAGATTCTGATGCTGCAGTCTCTATGGTCCCTCACCCTCCTCACACATACCACTGCACTGAGCTACTCTCCTCTCTGAGAAGCAAAGCACTTCACAAACCAAAGCATGACTCTGATCTTACCCTGACACTTTTCCATTCTTCTTCTTTAAGACATTCTCTTCTGTGAGACATAGACAGAGACCGGGGGCGGGGGGGGAGAATCTCAGGGTGGAGGATTTTATAAGTGATTCACGGTTGTGGCAAGTACCCAAGGCCCAGGGAACGGCACAGGTGTCTTTGATGAGGCCTCTACCTCTTTTCCAACTCTTCCCCCTAACTCAGCCTCAAGGACTGTTCCCTTTTTCAGGTGGACCCGAGTATTCTGGAGATCAAAGTCAACAGTCAAGGCCAAAGCAACCCTGGCTCATACCATGAGTGAGGACTAAGAAAGCTCATAGCAATAAAGCGTACAGAGGGGTCAAATAACATGAAAAGAACAAGGACAGGCTGGCACGGGAGCAAACTGAAGAGAATTAGGAAATATTTTGTGTTAAGGAGCTTTATTTTTTAAAATCCTGAATATCTTATCTACCTAACCACATGTAATAAAAAGAGCATTTCTGTTGTCCGGGAGTTTTTAAGCTTCCAATCCTTTTCTTTAATCTACAACCTGCATGGCATAATCCTTTTCAGACTGCTATCATCAAGGCGCTCAGAGTGGCTATCATCAACATTGTGAAGAATTATTATAAACTACCACGGGGAAGCTGTGGCAAGAGACCGTGCTCTCCTCTCTGAAGAAGAGAGGAAAAGACAGGGAGTGGTGGGGAATATAATCCAGGGTTCCATCTGCACTTCATAAGCTTTCCTGTGAGTTTATAATTATAGATGAGTCAATAAAAACAACTGAAAACAAAGTCATATTGACTTGTTGGCTCACAGTTTGGGTTAAACACTAGGTATCGACCACATCTGCTGAGGACTGTGGAGTTATTTACTAACCCATACTAGACCAGCTAAATACTCAACTGGCTTGACAGTAGATGAAAGCATCTGTCATAGTGATGAATAGCAGAGCCCAACCCAGGGTCTGGGGTTTATTTTTGGCTCTGCTCCTGTAATTTCTGGCAAGTTTTGAGACAGTTTAGTTGCAACTCCAGTGTCTACATCTACGCTAGGATGCCACCATCTGATAGGCGACCACTGCCATTTTGCCAAGGCTTTCAACCTTGACCTTGGTGGTATACTAGTCTCTTGATTTAAGCATCAGCTGACTTGGCTGTTTAGAGAGAGCATCAGATGAAATGGCTGCGAGGAGGTGCCTAACACAGAAGCAGAAGGTAAAACCACACCTCTTGCTGTCCCAGAGCACAGTGCCAGGTAAGGACAGATTACAGCTCAGGGCCAACTTACTTTTTCCACTGCCATGGAACATGCCACAAATTCTCAAACTCATCTTGTGGTTCCAAATATTATCAGCCTTAAATAAAGGGAAGTAAATGAGCTGACTTATACAGTGTATAGGTGTAGACATGGACAGACAGGAAGACAGACAGAGACACATCTGTGATGGTGAATCTTTACTGTCAACTTGATCCACTTTACAATCATCTAGGAGACACATCCCTGGGCTTGGAGTGAGGGGCTTTCTGGGCAAGACTGAGGAGAGAAGACCCAACATGAAGTGAGCAGCACCATCCCATGGGCTGGGGTACCCCAAAAGATAAAGGGAAAAAGGAGAGTGCAAGACGGAAGTAAGTATTCATCTCTGTCTGCTACCTGTGACACAAGTGACCTGCCACCACATACTCCTGCCTCCATGCCTGCCCACCAACGTGGACCATATCCCCTCACACTGTCAGCCAAAACAAATCCTTCCTTAAATTCCTGTCGGGTATTTTGTCATAGAAGAAATAAATGAACTAATACAATATTCAAACACATGTCTGTAACCTATATGTATGCATGACCATTCCCAACATGCTGAGCTTGCCTGTAGAGGGGTGTGCAGCATTGCCACCTCAGGAAGCAGAAGCCTGTGCATCAGCTGGCCAACCCCAGCGTGCATTTATGGCTAAGGCTCTGCTCCTGTGAGCAGTTTTCCAAGTGATGCTCTCTAAGCCTTTCCTGCCTTCCCTTAGGAGCCTGATCCAATCTGCTCTTCTCAACACAGCCCTCAGCTGAGATGGCTCTTGATAGATTCTCTCTATAGCATATGTTCTTTGTAAAAGACAAAGCTACTAGGGAGATGGCAAAGGAAAAGAACAGGGGCAGAATGACAGGGGTGGGAGAGGGCTCACCTGCAGTGCCTGCCGCACGACGCCAGAGGTATGTGTCAGCATGCGGAGCAGGATGTCCAGCAATGACACGAGCAGCGTGGCCGCCAGCTCCTTGTTCTTACTGTCAATGTCCAGGCAGAGTGCGGCAGTTTCCATGAACATGTTACAAACGTGACTGACAAGTCCTGAGGGTAGCAAGAGGGAAAAGCAGATAAGCACAGCACACTTCCTGTGAACTGACAGTACTGCATGCAGTACTTACACCGTTTACTTGGGAAGTTGTTTGAGATGGAGGTTTCCAAGCCGTAAGCCTCCAGAGTCAGTTTGAGACCCTGGAATGCAACCTAGGCCTAAGAGATTTCAGTGCAAGGGCCCCCAAACCAGACTCTGAGAAGCACAATCCCATGTGAACCAGATGTGAAAGGAGAACACACTGCACACAGGCACATCGTCCCCAAATTGCCTGAAGTCAGGTTCTCTAGTCCACTACGACCAAGGTGGACCAGAGGCCCATCTCTCATGGGCTTCGTGCAAATGGGGGGTTTTGGGTGGGGAGAGGCATAACACAATGAAGTAACATTTTCTAATGCATTTCAACAACACAATTAATTACAATGTTAAGAAATGTGGGACTGAAGAGATCACTCAGAGGTTAAGAGCACTGGCTGCTCTTGAAGAGGACCTGGGTTCTGTTCCCAGCACCCACATGGCAGCTAACAACTGTCCCTAACTCCAGTTCCAGGGGATCTGATATCCTCTTCTGACCTCTGAGGGCATCACATGACACAGGTGCACTTACATACGTTCAGGCAATACACTCATACAAATAAAAATAATAAAATAAAATATTAAAAAATAATGAACTTGCAAAGAAATCAATAAGGAAAGAAATTTCATTCACAAATACACTCATACATGTAAAATAAAAAATAAAATATTAAAAAAATGGTCTCTGATCACTTCATATTAATATTGAATTGGTCTCTACCAGCTTTTAGGTTGATATCATTTTACAACAAATATTTTCACATTTTGGGGGAATTATTGTTCATATTTAATTTGGCATTTTTACTGTTACTTTACTTAGCATTATCTTCTGAATTTTCAAGAATGCATCAGATGTAAATGAGGAGAAATGATGCTACAAACTTAAATGGTGGCCGGGCCCTGAGAACCAGTGCAGTGCAAACCAGGAGTTCTTCGAAAAAGAAAGTAAAATCTTCAAAGATGAACTTTGGTACATGTGGGGTGGGGGACATAATAAAGAACTATGGTGTGTCTCCAAAGCTGGATTCTGCTGAATCCAAGAGGCGCCTGTGGGCTTGCACTCTGCCCCGGATCGTCGGCCAGGTTGGAGCTCAGTGGAACACAGACCTCCAAGCTTTGGCATCTCCTCAAACAGCGTGTACTACTTCCAGCACACACACTGCGTTTTCCCAACAAATGTAAAAGTAACTAATTTCTCACTAAACGTGGAGACACACCAAAATTACAGTCTTTGTTCAGAGCTGTAATTCTTGTAGCAAAATTAGGTAAAAGGGGTGCAACTGCCAAGAAGCTTTAAAAAAAAGAAACACCTGAGTCTCGAGGCTGATGAGAAACAGACCTGAAGAGACAGTAGACTGGATTACTGTCAGAATCTCTGTAACAAATTGCAAGGTCTGGCAGCATGCATACAGAAAAAGCATGCATGCCGCAACACCAGCATGCGCCAGTCCAGCCCTGACTGTGGACAGTGTTCGGCTTCCATGAGTGTAGCTGGAGTCAAACATACAATGTTTGGTGCACACGTGCTGTGAAAGAGGAGCCTTTCCCTTCTCGGCTCCTGGTGACCTAGTGGCACATCACCACAGACACTCAGGACAGAGGAGAGCTGGTAAGGCCCAGCTCTATGAGGAGCAGAGAAGGACCCTCAAGGCTCTGCAGAAGGCTCAGGTGGCCCCAGCAGCACCCCACACACAGAGCGGGTCATGCTCTACCTGACCCTCTTCATCCTCAAGGCAGGACTGCAGGGGACCAGTGAACACAATCTAATTCTGCAGTAATGGAGTGTCTCCAGTCTCTACGGGAAGACCAGGTACCAAGCACAGGCTCTGATTCCACACACTGAAGTCACCAGCTCCTAAGGAAGGAGCTCAGACAGATTAGACAGAAGGATGAGGTTAAAAGCACTTCTTCCCACCAGTGATGACCCATCCAGCCATGTAGTTTCAGACAGAATTTTCACTTCTTGGTCAAAAAGGATGGCTTTCGTGTTTAGACTTTTTATTGTGAAAACAAGGAAATTCATGGGCACTTTAGTAAAAGGAAATGATTATTTCTGCAGGTCCTGCCCTGGTCTGGGGTTCACTCACCCTCCATCTCCAGCTGTGATTCTGTGGTGCTTGTCTGTTAGGACTGTTTTCATTGACACTGTCTCCCACCACCCTTCCCAGTGTTAATTGCTAACCTAGCTCCTAAGGCTTTATTTCTATCCAACTGCCTTTGGGCTTTGAAGTCATTCTGTTTCCTTAAACTCTGTTAGAAGCTCACATGCCTTCCCTGGAAAATATCTCAGTTCCTTCCCCTGAGGTATAGAGCCAGAGCCCAGTATAGTCCAGTACAGCCTAGTACAGTGCTAGAATCCAGGGCAGGCCATACCGCCTCTTCCCTTCCCTTCTTAAGCACATTCTGGTAGACCAGTCTGGATTCTAGCACTACATTTGTTTCGTTTTGTTTTCAGTGACATTTTCTCCCTGTAGTCATAGCTGGTCTAGAACTCACTACATAGACCAGGCTGGCCTCGGTCTCACAGAGATCTACCTGTCTCTGCCTACTGAGTGCTGGACCATCAAATTAGAGAACATTCCTGCTGTCCTACAAAGCTTTGTCCTGATATCAGTCAACAAAGACAAGTTTCCTTTGGAATTTTTAGAAGACATATTCATACAAATCAGTCTGGACATGGGTTTCATTGTTTCTGAGGGTTTCTGAGGTTTTGTTTTTGAGATGCATCCATGTTTTAGGAATGAGTGATTTGTCTCTTTTTTTTAAAAAAAATTACTTATTATTTTTATTTTATGTGTATGAGTGTATTGCCTACATGTAGGTAAGTGCATCCGTGTCATGCAATGCCCGAGGAGGACAGAAGAGGCCATCAGATCCCCTGGAACTGTAGTTATGGATAGTTGTTAGCGGCTATGTGGGAGCTGGGATTCGAACCTGGGTCCTCTGCAAGAACAATCAGTGTTCCCAACTTGGGGACCATCTCTCCAGCCCTGATTTGTTCCTTTTTTATTCCTGAGTAGTATTCTACAATGTTATTAGACTTCAATTTGTTTATTGTACTGAAAGGCACGTAAGCTATTTCTAGTTTGGGGCTGTACAGTGTATGTTTTAAGGTGTTACTACAAAAGAGTCAAAGTTACAAAACATTAAAAAATTATCAAATAAAAGGTATAATAACCTTAGGATAATTTATTATTGAAGAGAATTTAAAATCAATGTGATGCAGCCCACACAGAATGTTTAAAGTCTTTAGTGGTGTGTGGAATGACCTGGGCCATCACATTCACTTAACACTTGCTACCAATGAACCCAGAGAAGTTTTTAGAAAAGTGCCCTATATTGGTATAATGTTTATTATCTTTTGTGCCTTATTTTTAATGCACATTTATAAGTACATATGAGATTCAATACTGTGCTGTGTGGGTTTGTGGCCTTGGGTGAACCAGCTGTAACCAGGAAGTGTGGGTGGTTGGAGGCTGCACTGTCTAGATTCCTGTGAGGATACTCAAGTTCCTACAACACAATAGCCTAAGGATGCCTTCCTTATAATGTGTCCCACCATGGAGTGATGTACAGCTCTACACAGGTAACAAATTCCATGAAACTTGGAAAATGAGATACAAATAAAATTAGAAGTTTAACAACAAAAAAATAGAAATAATGAAATTTTAAGTCTTAGGCAGAAAACTAATACGATGACCAAACTAAACAAAGAAAAAACCAGAAAGCCTCAACAGCAGGTTAGTTTGAGCTGTGAAAAAAAATCAGTGAACTTGAAGACACAACATGTGAAAGTATCCAGTAAGAGAAGCAAAACATAAAAAAGGCTAAAGAAGGCTCATGGGAGCTATGCATCCTCCTCAGGAGACCAAACTGTGCAAATAGGAGCTCATCCAGGAGAAGGAGAAACGGCCAGAAAGGCCACTCAAGAAAGCACTGCTGACCCTTCCCTTACCTAGGGAATAAACTGAACCAAGGGGGTTAAAGACATGTTCATTGAAACTTCACACCGTCAGTGAAAATGAAGAAGACTGTCTAAGTGGGAAGATAGCCCATCTTCAGACTGCAAAAATTCTACTAAACATGTAAATGCTCTAAGACATCTACAGAGCCAATGGAATCCGAATCAAGATTCAAACAGCATTTTTCATAGAAAAACAATCCCTAAATTCTCATGGAACCTAAGCCCCAAACAGCACTAGGAACAAACCGCATCCCACTTTCTTTCCCCTCATTCGGATCCAGTCAGAGGTGATCGCAGGTACCTGTGACTGGGAACCCCATTAAACACCAGGCCCTTTCCATGTTTGGTGCTGTTTTCAACCACTTCCAGCTGATAAGCATCCACTTGAAAAAAAAGAGGTTTTTTGGTTTTCCATGAATGTGCTGAGATTCAAGACTGAAGTTTGGACTCAGAGGTGAAAGGCAACCTTGTTTCTAGACCAAAGGGTACAGGAAGGTCCAAAAGGGACATTTTCTGTAGCCCAGCATGGAGGAAAGGGATCCCATGCCTGGCTAGGCTCACCATCTCCCTCAGAGTCTCTCTGCAGAGGCACGTGGGGTCATCCAAGCATCCCGCAGCCCTCAGGTTACACACTAGCACAGTAATTACTTAACACCCCATCCCAGAACACTGCAACATGAAACCAAAATTCATCAAGTCAAAGAACCCTGGAATTAATTTGCATTCATTATAAACAACTCATCAAAGACTCAGAGCATTATTTTGTATTAATTATGAACAAATCCCTAAAGAAGTTCTCATAAGTAATTTCCAAGTACTTAATGTTCTGGGAATATTAATGTGCATCAGCTTTTCCCAGCTCCGGTCATTGTGTCCTTATGCTGTTTTTACCTTGTGAGGTCTGTTGGAGAGTGGATATGGGAGCAGGTTTTGAACTTCTAAGCCTCTAGAAGT